CTGACCTGCTCTGCTTTATGTCAGTGTCTAGTTGGAGGGGGAGGATTTGTCTTTCTGTGCCATGGTTTATGTAGTGTCACAAATGCTGATATTGATCTCTTGCAGCCAAGGTTTCTGTTTGATCTCACCAGTGTAAGAGCATGTGTGTTATTTTCATCAGGGCCTTTCCAGTCACTTGATTCATTTGTTTTGCACAAAGCAGGATTGTAGCTGGGCAGTGAGAAGGGGGAAGTTGTATGTGCAGAGCAAGATTTAGCAATCCCTATATTTCCTGTAAGACAGAGGCTATTTTTAGTTTGGCTTTTTATGCTTTCTTTGGGGGGAAAAAAGGTATCTTGCCAAAGCAGAGGGCAATGGCATCTAATTTTCCTATCCACTGCTTGTAAAATATTTGATTAAAAACATTTACCTTCTCCCTTCTTAATTCTCAGATAATTCTGGGACAGAGTAATCTTGTTCTGAGCGTAAATGTCACTCCTCTCCCAGTCAGAGGAAAGAACTGCCTTAGACAAAACAGCACATCTCCATTTCTCACAACAGCATTGCTTTCCCACTGGTTGTTTAAAAGGCAAAACAAATGTTTTGCCTGTGGGAGCAATTTAAGATGAGATAAACTGTGGGTATTGGCCTCTCAAAGGTCATCCCAAGCTGATGTTACATCCTTGTTCTGGTGGTTTGTGAACTTTCCTGTAGCAATACCCATAGAAATGGTTTAGTTATGGATCATCCAGCAGGATTATGAATCTGTACCACTGTCACAGGTGGGTATTCTCCTACGTGGGCTCTGACTCCCTTGCCATTTGCATTCTTGGAAGGAGGAAAATCCTTAGAGAAGCAAATCAAAGGTATTAGTAGGAAACAACTCATATTCATCTGCAAGAAGCAGGAAAAAAGTAGAAATCCCAATGTTTTGAGATGACATCATCATCATCCTCAGAGGAACAGCTGAGCATTATCACAGGGCCATCCTTACTCCAAGGCTGTGGGATGCAAATTGAGGTGCCAAGTCCCATCAAAAGTCTCTCTGGAGGGGATGTTGAGGGAGATTAAGACTGTTCCGTTTCAAAACCAGAGTCCAATGTGCCTGCACGTGTGAATGAGGGGTGCACATTCTCTGTGTCCAGCCAGGGCTCTGTGAAGTTGCTTGAACAGAGTCACCTGGTGCCACCTGGGACAGCTGCAGGAGGCTGGCTGGTGTGGGACAGGACCTGTCAGGACCTGTCATTGCTTTTCCAAGTGGCTGCTGGAGCCACATAAGGCACTACAGGGAATTTCTAGCACCTCTTGGTACCTGAACCTCTCCACTGCCCCTGGTGCAGTTCAGCCAAGCAGCAAGCACAGCCCAGGAGGCAAATGGCTCTGGATTCCAAAGAACTGAGCCAGCAGCACAGATTCTCTTACTCAAAACGTTTTCCAAGGCAGAAATTTGCCTGGCATAAAATAATTTCCTCCCTGCAATTGACCTAAAGAGTGGGAACAGGGTATCTCAGTGCCCTTCTCTTTTCCTGCCTTCTTAAACTTTTAGACCTCCTCTGACACCATGAAACCAGAAAAATTTCAAAGTTCTCTGTGGGGAGAGTGAGTTCACCTCAAGGTCTAGAAAACAACTCGATGTCCTGAAATGTTGAGCTGTGACAACCAGCCAGCCTACTTGCTTGTCAATTCCTGTCCCTGGTTCCATTTATCTTCCTCAGATATTCTCCTAGATATCATTGGAGGCCGTATTTAAATAGCAAAGACATTTTTGACATTACTCAGGAAGAACAGCATCATTATTCTAGTGCTTTACAGCCCCCAAAGGCTTCAGAACCCCCAGGCGTGGTGGTTTGCAGTGCTGCAGGTCCCTGGTGTCTAATCCTGCAAGTAAATATGTGACTCATTCATCCTACAGCAGTGTGGGACCATAAATATCAGGCATTTGTGGTAGGCCACGTTCATGTGTAACTGACAAACACAGGTCTCTGGGCAGTAAACACTCAAACCTGAAACAACCCCAGCCTGAAACGAGGAATTAAAAGCTTTGCTGTTCTGTAGAATTTCCTGTTCCAAGGTGGACTCTGTAGTCAGTACATCAAGAGTGGTCCCTGATGAGAATTATGCTGTCTGACTTTCATAACAAAAGTATATAACAAGTATTAAATGAGCTTTGTTGTTCTTCATGTCTTTGTATCCTTTTAAGGCCAAAAAAATACGTTCATTGTGTCATGAACTGTTTTCAGCCAAAATATGCTTGGCAGATCCTAATTAGTACATTCAAGGGGCAGTTTTAGCACAGTTTCCCACATACACTTCTACAGAAAGTGTGTTCCAAGGGGGCTATAAAACCAAAGGAGATTTTGCACTGAAAGAACATTTCGTTGTTTATCTGTGCTCAAGGTTACCTGGGTGTTATGTGTTCTCTCCTGGCAGAGAAGAATGAATTTAAGTGGGAAAAATACCAGGAATCTTTCAGGTAGAGGGCTGCATCATCCTGGAAATTTTTTCTTAGCAAATCAAATTCAGTGATATTAGCCCTAGCAGAGCTAGAAAGAGCTCAAGAACACATAAATGCTTCTTTGCACTCATTTAATTTCCACCTAAACTATTCACTACTGTGATGAAAGTCAAATACAGCCTAGAGATAGCACTCCAGAAGTACCACTAGAGACTCCAGCATTACAGGTACATTGACAACTGCAGCATGAAAATCCTGCTAGTTCACAAATTAATGGTAGCTTTGGAAACCAAATTCTAACACAATAGCTCTTCAGGGGACAGTCTGGAGGAGGAAAAGCATTTTAATTTGGTTTTGACAAGCTCATTTGTTTCCTCAGCCCCCTTTTTGCTAGCATCCACTTCAAACCAGGCACTTTGGGAGTGCTCTCACTCTAGTACAGATCTGAGGATACATGGCACATTTCAAACCTTTAATCACAGCATTCTTCATCACCAAATTTAGTTCTTGCAATTAAAATGTCAAGCTTCATGGGTTGCACTGATTTTCTAGAACAGCCTCATGCTCAGCTACAGCTTTGACAGGGATGGCTCCTTACAGTGTTTGCTCTTCCCTTGCCCTGCTCACATCCTAGGATCAATAATCAATATGCAGAAGCAAAAGCTCTCAGCCTGAAAGACATAATCAGCTGTGTGCAAATCCTGGTGACATCCAGAGGGTGCAATAGGTGTAACTTTCCAACAAACCCTCAAGCTCTGCTGCTCAGGAAAACACAGTTCTCTGTTATAGGAGCTGCCAGTCTCCCACTCCCCCGAGTCAGCAGCACAGCAGCTTCTCCCTGTGATGAGTTTCCTGCAGTGCAGCAACTCTTCAAGCTTCAGCTTCTAACTAGAGTATGAAATTTAATGAGAGCTGAAGCCCAAAGCAGGAGAAGCAACATCAGCAAGATGGGCAAAGAGTTCATCCTCCTCAAACCTACCTATACTGGAAGAGAAATAGGCACTTATGCCACAGAGTTTTGGTTCCAGGGTAAATGTTGTCCAATGGATACATTAAACAGGTTTAGGGTCAAACATAAAAAATACTACAATAAAATTGTACTGCACAATAATTCACTCTCAACATAATTCCTACTGAACTCAGAATTGAGATTTTTAAAAAATCAGAGAGGGGCACTACAGAAAAATTAGAGTTCACAGCAGACTCTAGAGTGCAGGATAAATATTCATTATGAATAGGAAATAGAACATGTAATTGTGAAGGGAAGGGTGGAATCTAGTCACTTCTTCATGTTTCTCTAAATATTACAATCTGAGAACCTCGCTCTCTGAAAAGATTAAAAACAGGTAGTATGTAGCTCATGCCAGTCAGAGGTCACTGACCATTTTCCCCCCTGCTCAGAGCCAGTGAGATCTTGACCTGCTCCTTCCAGGGCTTTCAAAACCCAGGCATGAAGCAGCCAGAGTGGTCACTCCCTCCTTGTAACCTCTTTGTAGACAACTGGAGAGCACAGAAAGACACCCAGAGTGCTCTCAAATTCTGTCACTGCTCTTGTGGGACTCATCTCTGACATCAAACCCATTAAAAGTGCATTTTCTCTGGTATCCAAGAGATATTCTTTGCAACTCATAGCTTAAAGAAACAGGAGTCAGTTTGGGACTTGGTGACCATTTAATTGTATGTGGTCCCTTTTCCCGTGTTACCCAAATGCACAGATATGAACCATGCACATGACTCCAATTTAGCTAAAAAATATATATATATAGCCAAACATATATCAGAAATACATAAGTAGATTTTAAGGTAAGGTACAACTATAGAAAAAGATTCTTGCAACATCTAGACACATCACTGCAGGCAAACTATTTTGAGCCAATATTTTTACCCCACCTGCCTCCTGAGTTTTTGGCATGCCCCCGCTGTCATGCACCTGGCACTGCTTGCTGCTTTAAGTGAATGCTGTTGCTGCAAGAGAGTGATCTGATGGCAAATTGAAGGAGCATTTAATCTAATCAATTCTTGCTTTGAACTCCTGCCTGCCAGATTACAGTGCTTACACAGTGCAGCTGCTCCTCCCGAGCCTGCACTCGGGGCTTTGCTCAGGGCTGCTCCAAGGAGAGCTCGGGGCTGGGGCTGCCAGATGTGCAGAAACATCTGGGGGCTTTGCTGCAGCTCATCTCTGCTTGCACAAGGAATACCAGAACCCTAAGAGAACCTGCTGTCAGGGAAGTTCAGTGTTTTACTCCTGATCTCACTCAAAGCCAGCCAGAACAGAAGCGTGTGAAAGAATTAAAGAAAAAGTAAGCAAGCAGAACTTTCCAACATCAAAAGGAGTGCTGAGCAATTTCAGCTCACTGAAAAGCTTCAAGTAACAGAAACAAATGGATAGACTGAATGAAACCAGAATGGCTTTCAAAGTAACTCTGAATGCTCTATTTACTCATACAACTCTAATTAGTGAATGCAATATACTTCATATTTTATGAAACAAAAAATGCGGGCAATAAAATCTTAACTTTACTAAAAAATTTAGCCCATGCAGTAAAATGTCACAAAGTAGCATTACCTGATGGAGTCCAGAACTGGGGATTTCTTTTTATGTCACCTCTGCAGGATGGCTTTCAGCAAATCATTTCACATCCATATAACCCATGTTTATCAAAAAATGGTAAAATGAAGTCTTCTAGTTAATAAATCATCTTGCAGAACTGTGGGTGCAAACAAAATTATCTAAGAGTTCATACCAAATACTTATTATCAGCTTGCTCGTGTAGCTGAAAGCATCACATGGATAAAAGCTACAAGCAATTAACTGGAAAGCAGGAAAGATCAATCGCTTATCAGCAATAAACTGGCAGAATATTTTGGGAGGTCTTGCAGAGTTCAGGAACCCAAAATTTAGCTTATAGAAAATCAAGGTCACAGCAGAAGGAAGGCAAAACAGACCCTAGGTAAGAAACTCAGAAAACCAGATAAAAAAGCTGCAACATTATATGATTGTAAAACACAGCAGCATGCACTTGGCTTTTTGTGAATGGAAGTTTACATTGATATAGAAAGAATGTAACAAAAATATGAAGCATAAATGTTGTTTCAGTACTTAAAATATAAGTGCATTTATGCAGGGCTTTCTTTCATTAATCTCATAGGTTACTGTAGGCAAAATGGGTATAGTGGAAGAAAAAGGACAATTAATAAGGAAAAAATTATGGGCTCAGTGAGTGAATATATAAAAAAAAAGGATGAGAATAATCAGAAAAACACCAATAGTAACAAAAACTAAAGCTACTCTTTAAGTCTTACTCAACCCTCTTTTTATAAAGGGAACACAACAAGTATTTTATTTATTTATTTACTTACTCTAGACTATTCTAAATGCTATTAACTATAGAACAAACATCCCTGTGTTGTTTGTGGAAACCAAGTGAAAGAATGCAAAGCAAATATGCAAGTAAACTAATAACCAGTGTTTATTCAATTACTGTTTTGTGCAAACAAGCAGGGTGATTTAATATCAGTTTGTAAACATCTTACCCAAACTGCATTTCCAGTTGATCATCTGCATGCAAATCAGTTTAAAATAAGCACATGCAAAACCAGGCCAAAATTCAAAGGAAAAAAGCCCTCAAAAATTCAATAAGAAGGGATGAAAAAGGATGAAGAAAATAAAGTAAATGATAAAAGCAATTGTTCAAACTTTTTCTCACTAAACAATGTTAGAAAACTGTCAACCAGAGAAAAACACACACACACAAAAAAATCTACTCATCTTGTATAAACTCACTTGTGAATTGATAAGGAAAGATTTTAAACAAAACTGTCTGCCAAGAAGAGAAGTGGAAGTCCCAGCTGCAATTAAATATATCAACTACTCTTCCTCTGGAAGGAGGAGAGCCAAAGCTCCTCTTTGATCTCTCCCAAAACTTCCCCTTTTCTGTGGCTCTTCCAGTGGAGACCACCTGGCTCAGGGCAGGCTGAATTTGGAGCAGTGAGGGGCTGGAGGTTTTAGGGCTTGCAGCTGTTTCCTTCAGGTGCTTGCAATGAGGGGGAAAGGATCTGTTTGAGGAAAGAAGGAGTGTCCCAGGTGAGGATCTCCTTTCCTGCTGCCAGGGCACTCAGGGAGGGGAAAAGGGCAACAATTGCCCTCACATTATTATAATTATTAGTATTAACAATACCATGAGAGGGTCTTACAGTGCCCATTGCTGGCCTCGCTCCTGTGAAGGAGGGTAAAACAGAAGAGAATCTGCTTTTCAAATGTAGAGGTTATTATTTTTGAAGAGCAAAGCGTGTAAACTGTAGATTGTAGTCAGGTATCCCCAGCTGCAGATCTGCTTTCCTGGGACAGTTAAAGCATGCATGAAACTGAGCACATTTTACTGAAATATTTGCATTGTTCCCCAGCCAGTTTTCAGGTTCCTGAGTTTTTCTACCCCACAGGTATTGCTCGAGCAACCATTCAGCTTTCCTATTAGGATACCCCAAGCAGGGGGAATTTCTAGGACATGATGAGGCACCTCATAAAAGGACAAAGCAGCTGAGTAATTTGTTTTCAGCACTTTCCCTCAGACACACATGTCCCTTATTCTGTCCTCTCTCCTGAGGTGCACACCCCCAGAAGCTGCTGCCCCTGGAGGTGCCCTTCAGCACGTGGCCCTGGGCTGGGCAGCTGCTCTGCTGCAGGGATCTTCTTTGTCCCACATCTCCTGAGAGGAATCCGGGCTCTTCTTTGCAATCTGCCTCGTGCTGGAAATCTCCTGAGTGTTATTAGATTCTGTAAGAGCTGACCTTTAAAAGTCAGCGGTGCAATTAAGCAATCTGGGCAGCTCTAGGCCAGCAGCTCAGCTGGTCCAGGAGAGGCAGGAACCAGACAGTTCACTCCTGACTAATGCCATTACAGGAGGACAGGAGGGGCACCCAGACACTCTAATTAAACAGCAGCAGATCTGCTCAGCAGGCTGTTATGATTGAGTGCAAAGCAGAGAGACAGTGCAAGACATGACAGAATCCCTGGGCTTGGTCCAGTTATGTGTCACAGCCATTTCTGGGGGGTTGTTGGCAGTAGTTTCTCATAAAGCTGGTAAAAGGAAGGGAAGGTGTCCAGGGAAATGGGGATCCATCACCGCCAGTGCTCTGGTCTGAAGGCCTCTGTCTGTACTCACCTTATCAAAATCAATGCATTAAAGCACTTGCAGAATGGAAGAACAGGTGGTGTGGTGAGGGGATTGCCCTCACTATCAGTGTGGGACTCCCTGCTCTGCTTTCAGGAATTCCTGCATGTCAGAAACAGCCCTGCATGCCACGGAGCCCCTGAGATCAGAGGAGTCACTTGCTCAAGTCTGACCCTCAGTTTCCTTGCCATAGGTCAGGAGCCTCTGGCCAGTGCTCAGTGGTCACTTCTCTCTCCCCCTGTCCCCTCTACCTTAGATATGGACTCAAACAGCAAATCAGAATCCTGCAGAAAGGTGAACCTTGCAATTCTGTTGGAGTGGTTTGCTTTTTCTGGTGTGTCAGATGGCTGGAGCTGTTGACTGGCTGCATTTGTCCGTGTCAGTGTTTGCTGTCCTTTCCACTTGGGTTCTGCTGACATTTCTTGCTTCTTTCTCTCTCCTGCTCACAGTAAATTGCCTCTGGTTCCACGCAGACTTTTTCTGTTAACAAATGAAAAAGCTCAGATTTAAAATTAACTGCTTTTTACTTGTGTCAAGTAGGGCAGGCCTGAATTTGGCTTTTATTTAGGCTGGTAAACTATTTACTCTGCAGTACATATGGAAGTCAAAGCTGGTGGTTGGGGATTCTTTTGGCCCCTCATTTCTCTCATCTCTTACTCAGAGAAGCAAAGTTTTCTGAACAGTTTCCTGTGAAAGAACCACATTTACTCACAGAGAGCCTTGGACTGTCCCTAACCTTCCTACAGTATGCCAAAAAGACCCTCCAGGAGCCCAAATATCCTTCATGTTACTGAAAGCTGAATACATTCTTAAATATGAGCATGGGCTCCTTGCAACTCTTTACCCCAGGGACAGAGGTAGAGATAAATTATAATTAATCCAGATTATAATCCAATGCAAGAACCTAATCCATCAACTAGGCAAAAATTTATTGGAGAAATTACCCTTGTGAGGCCAAAATAGCAAATAGATCCCTGACACATCTTAGATATCAACCTAAGATTCCCAGTTTTTTTGAATTTATCCGATTGTGCAGGTGGCCAAATATACGTTTGATGTCTGTTAAATTAGATGGCTGCAAAGCTTGGGAGCCAATTTATTTAGGTTGAAGAACCTTGTGCAAAATCATTTAAAACTTCATACTAATTTCCCAGTATGGAGTACCTCTCTTACTTGTCTTTTTTTTTTGGTACTGCCAGTAGAATTTGCAGCTGAAAAATATACTTCTTTCATTTGCAAAAAAACATTGTTAGCATGATTACCTCTGAGGAAACAAAAACCTGTAAACACTTTGGTACTTGTTCCTGATTTATTTCTGTGGTTTGCACATCTGCTCTTCTGTCCCATATAACATACTCTTGTTCATCCAGTTCCATATTTATCCACAAAACTGCTAATTGATTTAAGTGGAAGCTGTAGGAATAATTACATGTGTTGATATAAAATCTGTAATGAAGGTCTAAGCTGGCATAGATGCAGTAGAACTTGCAAAGCTAGTAGGGGGTGTACCTCTTCTTGGAAATAATAAAAATGACAGAAAATTCAAGTTGCAAACAGAGATTGAGGGCCAAAATTGTTACTATGTGTATGTTCTTAGAGCTGCAAAAAAGTGCCAGGAAAATCTGATTAGGTCCCTATTTGCATCTGAGAATCTTCAATACATTTATGTTTATGATAAATGGGAATTTTTGACTCAGGCTTATGTTGGAATTGGGCCTTTGGGAAAAAACTAACCTCACTGAAGCAATTGGGAAATCTTTCAAGTACCTTTTCATGATTTCCTAATCTTTTAGGTCAGTGTCATCCAACATTTTGTCAACCATAGACCAAATGATGTTGTAGGATTTTGCTCAGATTGGGCTTTTGGTGACAAATATACTTTATGGTCTTCCAGAGCAGTGGAAAGATCATTTTGCCAGGGGTAGGTGGAAAAGGCCCATGATCTGTGTAGCCCTGCACCAAGCCTATGGAGTGACCAGGTACTTTATCAACCCTCTTTTTATGACACTTTACTGACCAAAGGAGGGGAGAAAAACCCCATAATTCCATCAATTCAAGTCCTGTTGGAGAGAAACATAAGAAAGTTTATCTACTAATTTTACATAAGTCTTAGCCTTGTCCTCTGTGTGGGTGGATCACAGCTGACTTGCCTGTGCTGGAGAATCAAGACTCAGATACAGAAATCCGAAGACCTGTGGGAAATATGGCCAGCACTGTTTGGATGAGTAAGAGGAAAGAAAGGATATGAGAACATCATTACTAAGAACTAGCTTGAACCTTAGTTATCAGAGAAGTGTTCATATTTTTTTGTCTAGTGTAAAAAGAAGGTCCTTCTGAAAAGGGCGGAAGAAATATAGATCAAGAAGAATAAAGGGGAAGGTTGCCATGAAATTTTATTTAAATCTGAAGTATTACAGGTTTTCTTTCACAAAATGGGAGGGCTCACTGAGAGGAAAATAACCTAAAATGGCAACATTTTCATGAAAAAAGTTCCAATCAAACCCCTGCTGGCAAGGGCAAGATAATGCTATCAAAACTCATTTTTCTTTACATACTATTTCTACTTCCTTTACAGAACTTCACCCTGCCTTGTCCCCTTGTCCCCAGGCTGTGATTTCACTAAACCAGTGCTCTTACCATGGCCCGTTTGGCACAGATTCCTGAGTGCCACCATGACACCACTGTGGCTTAATTCATTAATTGCCTGTTGTGGTTTACAGCACAGCCATCTGCCATTCATAAGGCACTCCTGTGGGAGAGAGCTTCAGTCTGGTGGGGCAAACACCAGCTGAATCTACTCCTAGCCAGCATTTATTGTCCATGTTTCCTTAGCTGTGTGGTTATGGATGTCTGTGGGATGCTGTTGTACTCCTCTGTTAGGCCATGTGCTTTCTTTAGTAATTAGGTTTAAGATCTTGAGGAGTGAATAAATGGGGCTTTGGCTTAGTGAGAAGGCACAGAGAGGCTGGTAAGCACTTGGAGTGATGCCTTGGACCGAAAGTGGACAATTGTAAAGTATCTGCATCCAAGGGATTTCCAGCAGGATCCACAGCAAGTGTCTGAACCCTGCAGCAGTTAGTGGGGAGTGGCTGGGATGCTGCAGCAGCACCATCCAGACAGCTGTGGAAGGGTCACACACACAGGACAGCAATTAAAGATTAGAGAGAAAAAGAGTTTTTGAGGAGTTCTCCACCCGAAAAGTCAAAACTTGGCCTAGCAGTCCTCTTCCCAATGATTATTGAAGTGCTGTAGTTTAGCCAGGTTTTACAAGAGAAAGACCAGGAGGCAGCCTATCCACACAAGACCTGCTGGCATATAGCAGCTGTACTTTAATTTACATGCAAGATGATTTTCCAGACACAGGCAAGCTTTCCCAAGCCAGGAACAGCATAGGAAGAACTTGAAAAATCAGTGAAATATTTGCAAGAACCCTCACATAGAAGACTTTGGAGAGATGAGAAGCTCTCTCTTTTTAGGAGACTCCACTCTACAATTCAGGAACTTAAGCCAAGCCTCCTTGTTTTTAGCTATTGCAGGCCCTGGGATTTCAGTCTTAACTTCTTTTCTGTATGGTTGGGTCTGCTGCCCATATCAGTTTGAGAAGATCACTCACTGCATCTAAACAACTCCCTGGGGCAGGAGCTTCAACCTACACAGAGAAAAGCTTTGATGACTCCAGTAGGTTGTGCCTCAGGCTGCATTGAAAGAAAGAAGAATTCAGTACAAAAGTCATGCCAGAAATATACCCAGCTGCTCTGAGCAATGGCAGGGCACTTCCCAGCTGCTG